AAGGATCATGCTTTCTATATTGCAGGGCTTGGTCAAGTATTGTGCCACAGGCTACCAAACAGCCAGTGCCAGATCTGGTCCTGTTTTCATCTTTGACTGACCTGTAGGATGTGTTACTCTCAGAGTACAGCTGAGAGATAGAGAGGCACGAATTCTGCAGTTCCCATTTCAGTTACTTGTTGCAGAACAGTGACGCTGAGCATACACATCTTTAGCCTGGAGGGAGGAATCCTTCTCTGCACAGATTACTGCTCAGATAAGGTTTGTATTTCAGTGCCTCATCAGTACCAGTTAACATAGGCTTTGGCAGTTTCTGATGTTGAGTTGTCAGACATACCCTGCTCAGGTATTAGGTACTCTTGGCTTTCATAAGGAGTGTGGGTATAGCCTGTAATGTATGCGGAGCTCAGAGGTTTGTCAAGTGAAATGAACAGCAGTGGTACAGCATGAGGGGCAGTTGACCTCTTGGCTTTCTAGTGCTCAGCTTCCTCGAGAGCTCACTGTCCCACCCAGCGCGCCATCAGACGAAGGGACAAGCAAGGCAGGTGAACCTGCTTCCATCAGCTTTAGCTTTCAGGAGCTCAGCAACACTTAGTAGAAAACAGGGGACTCTAGTCTGAGTCCCTGGTGCATGCGCTAATAGGTTTGTCTGTCTCATGCTGAATATTATTCACACAGTACCTATGCTGAGTACCTTCCAGAAACTTGGATTAGCCTAGCTGAAGCTCTGCTATGGTATTTTTGAGTGCCAAACTCGATGGGCTTTTGCCTGTTCTTTTCTCCTTGCAGCTGGGTGGAAGTCAAGACTCGGGGCATCCAGGTTGAAGCACTGGGTGGTAGCCCTCAGTGCACTTTGACCAAGGAAGTTCAGAAAGGAGCATTTTGAATGATAGGCTATTGTATCTACTCTAATGTATCAGTTCTAATCTGCTTTTAGAAGACCTTTCTTTAATAACGTAGTCTCATACCATCTTACATCCAACATTATGAACTTGCCATTGGAAAGGGCATTAATAACTAGACAACAAAGGAAAAACTGAGTTTTACTTTTAGGCCAATATCTTTCTCTGGCATATCTTTGACCATACAGTTCTTGAGGTCCATGACACTTCCCATTTAACTTAAATACCATGAACTGTCCAAGACTGAAGTAGCATTTCTACCTTGTGTATTTGGTGCCTTGGAAGTAAATATATAAACCATAAAAGAATGTTGTATGGCACATGATCATCTGTATATGAATATCACAGAATCCTCTTCTTAAAATGGGAAGTCACTATGTGTGACTGTAAAATGTAGTCAGATGAGCTGGATAATCTGAGTCTGTTGCTCTGAAACCTAGGACTCGTGCCAGATGACTTTGCATTTTCACTTCTGCCTGTGGGTTCAAGGCCTTAAATTTTAATGATTCAAAACAATTTGCTGGTTATCTAAGCCTACTGGTAACAAATAGAACAAGCGTATCTTTCATTTTTAAAAAAGCCAGAATCCGAGAAGGATGGAGTTGTGCATCAAGTGCTGTGGAAGGGCTGACAAATACAGGCTTTTGTTTCCAAACAAAAAGAGCTGGTCTAATGGTCACGCTGCTGCTCTGGTTTTGAGACCATTCAGAAAAGAGCTGTATAGTGTTTTCTCATGCTGCCATAAGCTACAGCTTTGGGAGTGATGAGAGCCTGGTGAGAGGAAGCCCAGTAACCATGTGGCAAATGTGCCTTTTCCCCACTGGTGTGATACTTCTAGGTGAAGAGGCAGTGGTGAAGGAGTTGGGGAGAGGAGGAGGTTCAAGGAAAGGTGGCAGAAGCTGGTTTTCTTAAGACAACAGTCTGTAATGAGTCAGGGGAGATGGGAGGGATTGGAGGAGGTCTGGGACAGAGCAGTAGGGCTGATGCCAAGGTGCTACGCAAGTGCAGAATGTGCCCACAGAGTCTTTTTCTAGGTATAAAGGAAGAGATGGGGACTGGGATAATGGAGGTTTTGGGTGATGACTTCAGGGTGTCAACTGTCTTTCCTCTTGCTGCATGTCTTGTAGGCCTCAGGATAAAGTGATCTCAAGGATTAATTGGATACTGCTGGTGGCATTTGCAGTTTTGAGGGTCAGACAGGGAATTAATAAATCCTCTGACGCCTGTAAAATTTCAAATGAGTGAGTAGTAAAGCCAAGTGGTATAAACCAGTATAAGCGGCTTTGGTTACTCCTTACTAAATCAGATTTTTCTTTGTTGTTTCTTTCTCTGTCTGGCACCAATAGAAGGGTGCTAAGGGGTGTAATGACAGTAAGTGAAGGCAAACAGGCTTTGCAGCTGGCCTTTGTTAAGGCTATGGAAAGGGTGTTGCAGCAGTTTAGAGGAGTTTAGATATGTTTAAGCTGTGTTCATAGATAGATCATTTCTATTTCGACATAATACAGAATTCAGAGGACTGAAAGAGCCTGGACATGAAACCATAAAGCTCTGGGTAGACCAAGGCATCCAGGACTTAGACCTGTGAGACCTGGTGGCACTGTGATAAATATGTGATAAGTACGAAGGGCAGATTCTTGAGCTGGTGGGTTTGAGTTGAAGAGATGTCTACAAAAACACGCTGGGCATGCCAGAGCTTTACATCTCAATTGGAAATGATAGACTGGAAAAAAGCAGATGATCTGAGGTTATCTGCTGTGTGCAGAGGGAAGAGAGGCAGTAGTGAGGGCAGGGCTCTGTGCAGTCTCTAGGGGGCTGCTGGGCATAGGGGAAGGATCTTGTCAAGGGTATAGCAGAGTTGAGAGGTGACAGCCAGTAAGGATGTGATTTTGGAAGAATGAGCTCGCTCAGTTTGGGCAAAAGCAGTTAGCAGTTCAAAAAGAGGAGCAGCACCCACACCCAGGGGCTGTCTTGGCTGCTGGTGTAGGTCAGAGCTTTGAAGGGAAGAAATTCCTGGTGGTGACTAGACAATCCATTCAGTGAGCGTGGTTTAGCAGTGCAGAAGGTAGTATGGATTCAGTGGGAGTACTGGTAGGATTAGTAGCCCCCAGCAATTCCAGGATGTCAGAAGGAATCCCCTAGGTCCCTCTGGCCTGTGAGGTCAATCCCCTGCGGTGGAGAGGGGCCAGACCACAGCTTTGGTACAGCAGCACAGGGTTGGTGCTTGTTCCTTACTGGTGAGGAAGAGCTACCTCTAGTGGGATGTGCGGTATAATTACAGTCAACTCTGCCTTGCTATCTTAACTAGGTTTTTGAAACAATCTTGTTACTTGGTTAGCCCATCCCTGCAGGATTTCCGTTTCAGTTTTAAAGGTGAGCCTTTCTTGAAGTTTGCTTTCTCAAGAGATTACCTAGAGAATGAAGTAGCAATGTTGGCCAAGTTCAATTATGTTGCTACTCAGCAGAAACAGTTAAAAGTATGAATTTATAAGAAGGGTTGCAAGGGAAAGCTGACCTTTAAATATAGCATCCTCAGTTTTCTGGGGCTATTTCCTGCTTTTCCTGGCTTTGTCCTACAGTGTTTCACAAATTTCCAATCTGACTGCTATGTAGAGAACAAGCACATCCAGAATGATGGTTTGTATTATGGTCTCCAGTTGCTGATGCAGTTCCTTTAAGAAGTCAGTTTTTATTTATGTGCTAATATGTTGTATGCATTGCTAGTATTAATAATAACATGGGATTTTTCTTTAATGGTAGGTGATATTAAAAGTAGCTTTCCTGGGTAAAACGTTGAATAACATCAAATTATTTATTTTTTGTATAGAAAAGTTTAATCTCTCTTAATGCAAACACAAATTAACAGATTAATATCAGGTCCAGATTATCATCTTGTTACGTATCTACAAATGTAAATGGAGCTGTTCCACTTGCACTGATTAATTACTTCAGTCCAATCTCTCTCTAAAACTCTCTATTGGCTTTTCCAGTGAGTGTGTATGTGTGCATGGTTGTAACATTTAAGATACCTCAAATCTGTTTCAAATTTTCTCACCACAACTAATTCAAAATTCCTTAGGAACTGACACTAGATTTAAGTGTGCTTGCTGTCAAAAGTTGAATGTAGCGAATTAGAGATTAATCAAATTTGCAGTACATTTTGTTAACTCACTGCTTGTCTGACTAGATCCTACATTGTGTCTCTGTAAGGGTAATGTTATGTATGAATGTATGCCTTGAATGTCACAGTAGATAGAAAATACTATCTTTCCAGCAGATGGAAGGAATTAGAGATTAAATCTCATGGTGAAAAATTCCTACTTGTCAATGACTGGAAGAAAGATGAAAAGACTCAAGCTCTTCTATTTTATACCTGCTTCAGCCCTTTCCCTAAGCAGTGGGGACTGTGTAAGGACTGACTTTTCAGTGCTATATTAACACCAGACCATTCTGATGCCTTGTGTTGGTTTTCATTAGGAGTTAATCTAAAAATATTTAAATACCCATAAATATTACAACCACACTTACATCCTTTAGAGTCACTGTATGTCATGCACTCTGAACAGGCGTGTGTGTTTGCAGGCAGTTACAGCATTATAAAGGGTCTATTCATTAACCTCCTGACAGCTAATAGAGAGCAGGAGAGATTTTGCTGGTGTTTGAAGCATTTTATTTGCTATGAACAGTGGTGACACGTCTGGGAAGGAGAGTTATGTGACATAAATCATCTTCTTCCAGTCAGCGTCTCTGATAGCTGCTTTGCTTGCCTTTGCTATCTGTTGTTCTCAAGGTTAATGCTGCCTCTCTCCATTTCAGCTCCAGCAGTGCAGTTCTGAATATGCAATGAAAATGTTATTGGGATCATGCTAACTTTATTCTGCCTTTTTTTTTTTTCTTTTGGCAAAGCAAGGTTACTGGACCTATATGAAAAGAGATTTTGCTTCCCTGCATATCCCAAATAACAACAAAAATGGGTTTTACTAGAAGCATTTAAATAAAATTATAGGGAATTTAATAGACATAGAGGGAATGATGGTGACTGGATGACTTACTCATTTTATATACAGGTGGAACCTAATCTGGCTTTTTTTCTCCCTTCAGTTCTTCCCATACATCCTTCTCCTCGTTGCTATCCTGCTGTATCTACCATGTTTGTTCTGGCGCTTCACTGCAGCACCTCACCTTTCTTCAGACCTGAAATTTATTATGGAAGAACTTGACAAAGCCTATAACAGGGCAATCAAAGCTGCTAATAGCATCCGCAGTGGAGACCCCAGGGACCCTACTGATTTGGTTCCAGCTGTTAATGAGAACTTGACACAGAGGTAAGATGCTGGGGCTTGGCTTTCTTTGCTATTTTCCTTAAGCTCCTAACAGATGACACCTATGCTCTCTTAGAAATTTATTGCAAAAGTGAATGGTGGCCTGACACTTGAAAAGTTGTTTTAAAAAGAAGAAGATATCTGAAATCATTACTGTGAGCACTTGAAGCTGGAATTTATAGCTTTCTTTTTTCAAAGAAAACATTTGATGAACTCTTCAGATGACTAATTACCTGAGATATCCTGATTTCTTTAGTTGTAGTAGGTGTTAATTAGTTTTACCCACCACAGCATAAGAAAATAGGGATGGCTGAAGTCCTCAGTTCTCACTGTTCTTGACAGTTGCTTGCATGCTGTGAGTAAATCTTGTCATCTCCTGTCCTTTCAGATCTAGGTCTTCAAAGCTTCTGTTTAAAGAAGAAAAAAAAAAAAGCCAAGCAAAAACCAAACACCAAACCCAACAAAAGCAAACACCCCCTTTCTGATCAAACTGGTGCACTATTCTACCCAGATCCAGTTTCTGCCTCATCCTAGATGAGGGTAGTTGTTTCTCTTTGCGTGTGGGGGTACAAGCAATGCAGTGGGGGTGTAGGTTTGCTCCTTAGAGTGTGGAGTTACATCTTGACAAGTAAAAAGCTTTCCAGTGTGCTATTATTGAACAAGTGATTGGGAGATCTGCTTTTCCTCTGGGTTTGTTGAATATACCTGTTTTGTATTGGAAAAGAACAAACCCACTTTTTTGCTGTGAGGTCAATGCTTTTTTTCCTTTTCCCAGTGTCTGAGCTCTTCTGTCTCTTAATTGGATTTTCTGTATTAGAATGTCAATATTCTTAATTTATCTGCTATTCCGTTGTTTTTCTATTGACTTCACTAAAACTACCATTGATTTACCTCAGTAAGAGGGATTCCAATCTTGTGTCTGTTTTAGAGTACTAGGTTTCTTTGAAATTTGAGGGAGGTGAATGCTGCAGCATCTGATCTATGTGATCTGTTTTTTTTCTCTCTCTTTCAGTTTGTGGGAAATATCTGAAAGCCACTTTAAATACCCAATTGTGGAGCAGTACCTGAAGACAAAGAAGAATTCCAAATGCTTAATAATTAAATACATTATCTGCCGTTTACTCACGCTAGTAATAATTTTCATTGCATGCCTCTACCTGGGCTACTACATTAGCCTCTCCTCTTTGAGTGATGAGTTTCTCTGCACTATCAAAACTGGGATCTTAAAGAATGACACAACTGTTCCAGAAGTGGTTCAGTGCAAGCTTATTGCTGTTGGTGTCTTCAAGGTACTCAGCTATATTAACCTGCTAGTCTATCTTCTGGTGATGCCGCTGGTAGTGTATGCAATGTTTGTTCCATGGAGGTGGAATTCGGGCATTCTCAAAGTGTATGAAATCTTGCCAACTTTTGATGTTTTGAAACTTAAGTCAAAGTGTTTTGATGACTTAAGCCTTTACCTCCTCTTTCTTGAGGAAAATGTGAGTGAACTTAAATCATTTAAATGCCTCAAAGTGCTGGAGAACATTGCAGTTTCTGAGAAGTTTGATGTCATGCAACTTTTGGTAAACCTTGGTACTATTAAGACAGATACCGTAGATGGGAAGCCAGGAACAGCTACGTTGGAAAAGCCTGAAGAAACAATTACGGAAGAGCTGGAAAAAAATGCAACAGAGCTACAAGGTAAGGTGATCTGCTCTTTCCTTAAAAAGAAAGGTCAAGTAAATTAAAACCACAAAAACACCACATCCAAGCCATAGAGAGATAAGGAATTCATTACACCAGAAGTTCATTCATGCAAAACAAAGCAGGTGTTACAGAGATGTATATTCCTACAAAACCCGATATATTTTACAAGAAAATGGACCTGCTTAGACCTTGCTATGTTGTCTGCAGTATAACTGCTACAACTTCATGTGTGTGCCTGACGATTGTGGTGTTGCAAGTCAGCGGCACAGGCTAAACACTGAAGTGTCTGTTAAGTTGGTGGTCCCCGCTGACATCTCTGCTCTAGCAGTAAGAGGCTTCAGCTGTCTGAACTTGAACTCCTTAAGACACCTGCACAGTAGAAGAGAACTAGACTGTCTAGAGTAGGCTGCTCTTGAAAGGAGAAGGCTGGTGGTTTCAGGACATTTATTTTTCAGAGATTAGCTCAAAAGAATAGTAACTGCTGCTTCTGCTTTTCATTCAGGCTTTGACAGAAGTCTTAGATGAATGTAAAAATAAGTCTGTGCTCAGAAATGCCTCTGGCAGAGGAACAGAAAATGACAAAAGAAGGGAAGTGGGACTGGGACCAGTGAACATGCTTCTGTTCCTCTTACCCAGGAAGAAAGGAAGATTGAGTGTAAAGTGATTTTTTTGATGGTCTGAGTCAATCTGGATTGATGCAGCTGTTCTCTGAATATTCCCACCAGTTCCCAGACATGATCAGCCCCGAATAATCACTCTTATATGTAGACAACGATTCTGTGCTAAAACATGTGACATATTTTAAGTGTGATTCCAATTCCCTCCTCAAATGCCCAATTAGAGAAGCCACATATCCAGGGAGAGGCATAAAGGAATGGAAGAGCTTTCTTGCCATTTGATGTGAGCACGACCTATGTTGTAGCTGTCCCCACAGCAGCAGGATGACACCAGTGCCTACTTCCCTGAAAGAAGTAGTTCAGAATCTGTGGGCTGACTCTTCAGTGTCAGAAGGGAAGATACTTTAAAATGTTTAGCAGCTGACCTTAGTAGGCAAGCACAATGCTGAGGGCAAGTTAAAAAACTGTTTCAAAGGTGGAAAAAGATTAGATCTATTTTCTCTTCAGAGAGCTATGCCCTGTGCTTAATAAAAAAGAAGCAGCAGCACCCAGAGGGTAACTGTTCCTTTGTACTTTCGTCAAAAAGTTCTGGTAGGCTGAGGTTTGGAGAAGTCAATTTATACAACAGAGGAATTCAGAACAAACAAGCAGAATTATTTTCAAACTAGTAGGACCTGTGGCAGCCAGCTCTAGTACAGCAGTTTGGAGGAATTCTGACAGAAAATAGTTTTCCTCTTAAATATGTCCCTTTTTGAAATGACAGGTGGGTGGGTTTTGGTAGGAGAATTTAAGAGCCCAAGGTGGAGATCTGCTCAAGGAGCTGAAAAAGCTAATAGAAAATCTGACTCATTTTTATCTGAAAGCAGAAGTTTTGAGACTGTTTTCATCTCACAAAAACAGTTCAAAGACTTGTTTTCTTCCAGAGTGGAACAAAGTCATGCTTGAAGCTCTGTTAAAATGCACTGCAGAAAGAAGCTGCCATTTCATGACCAGCTCTGGCTGGTGCAGCCTCTCCTTCTGCCTGGGTGCAGCTGCAGACTTCACCACCCATCAGCAAAGTTTCCTTCTGTCACTAGTGGCATCAACATGTTTTAATCAGTAACCATGTTAACAAACCAGTGGTAGGTGCTGCCCCTGGACTGTAAGGGTGGGAGAGGCTGCAGGGCATCCTGCTGCTGGGTGCCACATCTGGACTGCACAGGGGCAGCTGGAGGCTGCTCAGCAGCTCCAGCACAGCACAGGGCAGCAGGCAGCCTTGCAGCGCTCTCTTGGTGGCAGTTCCTTTGTAAACAAGAATGTGTCAAGTGGTTTGATGGCCCTTTCCCTTCTAAAGGTTTACTTTCTCTTTAGTTTTGACAGACCATGATGCAAGTGGCAACGTGAGTCCGAGAGAAGATAAAAAACTTCGCCAAAGGCTTATAGACTCTTCATGCTGATGCTTCTCTGCCACAGCAGGAAGGAGCTTCACACTGCAGGAGGGCTTCTCCTCTGCCTTCACTGTGCTCAACACAAGGTGCTGCTCTTTGAATGCAACCATCTTGATAGCCTGACAATTCCTCAGTGGTCAAGCTGTTTTACAGACTACATGTTGTATAATAATCAGCAATCATGTACATGAAAATGCATGTTGTAGCCTTTCATTATTTATTAAAAAAACCAAACACACAAGGAACAACAAAGACAAAAAATCTCTATCATGAGTAGCAAGTGACACGCCTTGAATGCAACTGAAGCTGGCAGCAAGAAAGAACTAGCACTATGCTGTACAGGGATAGGAAACATAATCCTGTAGGTAAAAAGAGATGGCCACGTTGCATTCTGAAGTGTTGCTCTGCTGGGAGCAACCATCTCAGTTCTGGGGTTTAAGTGAGGCGTCTTGGGGCTCTCAGCCCTGGAATTTTTTTTTTTTTTTTTTTTTGTAGTTGTTTTTTAAATGAGGCTGGTTACTCTGTACCAGGTGGTGGCTGGCCACTGATATTGGCTGTGTATTCACAGAAAAAATAGAGGTTTCTCTGTTCAGCCTGAGATGTTTTGATTAGCCATCTCAACATTGATGTCTCAGATTAATTACTTGGCACTGATGGAAAAGAAACTACAAACAGGCTTATTATAAAGGGGTACTGTAAATGTTAGGGATTTTGAATTTTCTATGTATTAATAAATTAATAATGTCTTAAAACTTTTTTTTTTTTTTTTTTTTTTTTTTTT